TTCGTCGTTTTGCAGTGGCGTAACTCCTATGAGCTCTACCCGGTAAGAGCCGGGGGCACCCAGGCAATCTGGCTTCCAGGGGGGGGGGGCACCGTGAACTTAGTTGTCCGGCGGCCTTGTTTATATAATTTCCGTTTCGTCAGATTTTCTGTATCACAGTTGGTATATAACATGACTCCAGAAGTTGAAGCGAAACTAAGACAAAGTACAAATGCACAATGCAAAAATAGAATGTCTTTGGAGCCAGTGGCAGTCAAGAAGTATACGACGTGTTTCGACAAACAGAACTGACAAACAACCGATCTTGTGTTCATGTGATTTCTTGAGAATGGCTTCCACTTGCTAGGATATTTAGAAGGAAATTGTAAGGGACCGGTCATAAAGCCCTTGCATAAAAATTGATGACCCACCCCTGCGTTGAAAATTTGCTTCAAGACAAACTCTTTACTTCCTTCGCGGTTCTTTCTCGTTCCACTATAGTATGTACTACATGACATAGCCAACAAGTAGTACACACTTTAGTGGTGAAAATTCATGGATAACCACTATTCATAACTGCTGTGCGGCAGCGAGCGAGCATGAAGCGAGCGAAGCAGCATTCTAATATATGCAGAGAGGTGGTTTTGAAGTAATGTGGGGCCACTGTAATTGGCATAGCTGTTGTGGTTTCCCAGCCAGTGAATGTATAAGTATTATGGCAAAGTAAATAAATTTTATTTAGCGCATTGCATTGTCGTCGCGTGCGCTCTTGCTGTGCGCAGAACATAAAATATAAGCGATGTGCGACATACAGTATTTGAGGCGTATTTGAAAGATATCGTTATGTATCGTTTTGCTTGCTTCGACTTGTAAATTATTTTGACTCAGGCACTCAGCGTAAGGTTTATTAAAGTTTTAGGCCCTGCAAAGGCCATAAAATAACGTGACTGCACTTTGTGCCTTGTAATTCACTCAATGGACTTCAACCACTCGGAACACTGTTAGTTCTATATATTATTATAAAGTTTTAGTTTCTTAGTTTAATTTAATTACTGTGTATATAATGCGGGTAAATGCGCCTAGCAGTATTAGACTTAATATGAAATCCAATAGCAAAAACTTGTGTTATATAATTTACCTGTACGTCTTAAGAATACTTAAGGAGCGCGTAATTCAACAGATTCCACAGTTCCACTTGCATGGTCTTGTAAATATTATATACTCTTGCTTATGCTTTAGTGAATATTACTTCCATAAACATTAGCACGCAAGTATTGAATGAGACGCACATGTTTAATTTTATTTTTTTATAATAAAAATGGCGCTTGCCATTTCATTTGCCTGCATGGTGAGATCATGGCGCTTGCCATGATCTCAATAGAGGCAGACGAAGCAAGAAAGCTTTCCGTTGTCAAAATGATCGATGAGTTTGCTGAAAAAAAGATCAGGTGCGAGAAATTTAAGATGTACTGTAAGGTTACATTTAATTGAGGATGTATGTGCATAATTACAGTGGCACACACTTCACTCTTTATGTCAAAAACAATTTCCGCATAGTGCTATTTTATAGTTGTTTTCTTTATATTCTGCCATATATTTATATTTCCAGTTTAAAAAATCCATTAAAATTGGCTTCTAAACGACTAGAAAAATGTTCATGTTGTCAGAGTTCCATCTTCAAAATATCTATGATCCCCCGCCTTAGGGGCACCCAATCCCGGTAGTATCAGGGGCAGCCTGGTCCAAACTTACGCCACTGTCGTTTTGTTCTGTTTATAGTTTTAAGTCGTCGCATAACTGAGCACTGTAATATGCACCGCACCGCACTCCACAGGCTCTTATATTACAGTCTATGCATGTATTAGTGTTCAGTTCCTTGCTCAGTATATATAGCCACACTGTACGTGTCAAACATTTTTATGTATTATATTTTCGAGGAGTTTGAAACATATTTTGTACCGTATATTGAAATTTGCATCTTGTAATTGGGAGTTAAATTCATTTGAAAACTCTGCAAAGATTACGCGCATGATCTTCCTAGTGTTTTACTTTAGACTGAGATGCCTGCTGTTTTCTATTTGTCATTGTAGTTTACGGCCGAATTTGAAGCAGTAAAAGGTAATAATGCAATGAATTGCTTCATTCAGTTATATAAAGTGCGCACAAGATTAAAACAAGAACCCTGCTGGCTTATGCATGTATTTGTCATTGACATAGCATGGCTGCGTTACAGACCGCTAGTGCATGTTATAACTGTTATAATTTATAGTTTCCTGCCCGGAAATGCCAAAAATGTCAAAGTGAATATAAGCATGTATACATATGAAACGTATAAATACACAATTTTTGACGTTGTCAAAGATTGTATAGTAATGCGTTGACGCGTTTGCTACTGCAGTTTACTGAGTTTGACTAATGGTCGCGGGTCGCGTGTCGCGGATAAAAAGTCGCGGGTAAAAAGTCGCGGGTAAAATGTCGCGGGTCGCGGGTAAAAAGTCGCGGGTCGCGGGTAAAAAGTCGCGTGTCGTAAAAAAGCTCTAAACCGTGTATTTTATTGAGTCGCGGGTTGAATAAAGTGTGTAAAAATCACATTAACATATTTTTTATCAATAGTTGTTCGAAGATGTTATGGCTGCAATTGCGAGTTTCTAGATAAATATAGACAAGAACCATATAACATTATTGTAAAGCACGTTGATAGACGGTAGTGGAAAAGGGTCCTGTTACACATTCCTATGTTTATAGTCCTGATTTTAGTAATACATGTTACCATCCAATTTCTACCATATCAGGCGTAAAAATTCCCTATTCAGTGGCTCAGTGCGCGTTGTCGTCAAGCCTCTGCGCATCGCTCAGGCTTTCCGGAAACAAGTGCTAGAGAACAGCGACTTAAATATAAGGGTTGTTTGTGAATCATAATGTACTTTTATAATGTCCTAGCATGGATATATCTATTATTTGTGATACTATATGGTTAGTTTTGAATTGGGATAAAACTGATTGTAATAGTAGTGGTAAACGGAATTTATTTCTACCAAAGTCTTGTTTGTTTCTTTCAGAACATATTTTTTGATTAGAGGATTTTTGTCATGGTATAATTGTTGGTTTAACATATAGAAATTATTCTTTCAAGTTTTAGGCTTCTGGCACGTTTATATAGAACCATTAAATCATGACAAAAGACTCTTGGGCAATATTTCGTATTGAAGCAATCCTATATAGTTGTTTACTAAATGACAACGTGATTTTTACACACTTTATTCAACCCGCGACTCAATAAAATACACGGTTTGGAGATTTTTTACGACCCGCGACTTTTTACCCGCGACATTTTACCCGCGACATTCTACCCGCGACACGCGATCATTAGTGGAACTCATTAAATGATGACAAAAAGCTCTTGGGCAATATTTCGTATTGAAGCAATCCTATATAGTTGTTTACTAAATGACAACGTGATTTTTACACACTTTATTCAACCAGCGACTCAATAAAATACACGGTTTGGAGCTTTTTTACGACCCGCGACCTTTTACCCGCGACATTTTACCCGCGACCCGCGACATTCTACCGCGACACGCAACTTTTTACCCGCGACACGCGACTTTTTACCCGCGACACGCGACACGCGACCATTAGTCAAACTCCAGTTTACTACATACGAAGCGTGTTTTTTAAAGAACGAGGCAACACTATATAATAATGTATAATTAGCCATAACGCTTTTGTCGTTGGTCTCATATATGGTTGGTCTTGTACAGTAGGTTTTATTGATAGATATAGCTACGTGGTTTTGAAAGAACGAGGCAACACTATATATGCACAATTAGCCATAACGCTTTTGTCGTTGGTCTGGTAGGCTTTATTGATATATACGTGGTTTTGAAAGAACGAGGCAACACTATATATATACGCACAATTAGCCATAACGCTTTTGTCGTTGGTCTGGTAGGTTTTATTTATATATACTTGGCGGAAAGAACGAGGCAACACGATATATGCATAAGTAGGTTAAGAATTAACACTCCCCCCCCCCATTAAACCATCATCACCATCTTACCGCACCATATTCACCACCTGACAACAGCTGTTCAGCTGAACCATCCTACACCATCCGACACCACACTACAAGCGTCTGACAAACAAAGCATCTGACACCATCTTACACCATCTTCACCACCTGACAACCGATGGCTATATTGGACATATATGATATTTCTTGCCCAATTTGGCATACTATTTTATTTATTCTCTGTCTGCTGGGTGTTGTGTGTTTTATTGTAATTTTTTAATGTACGTGAGCCTCCTAGATGAGCACTGTGCTCTTGAGGCAAACGTAAAGACATAATAAAGTTTATACAAAAACAAAATCACTGGGGCTTACGATTGATAAAAATTTATCGTGGCGAGAACACATACTTATATATCCAAAAAAGTGTCTGAAGGTCTAGGAATGTTAAACTTATTCGTGATCTGGTGCCAATTAAGCTGGTTGACTGCATAACTCTCGTGAATCATTCTGCCTCATGTCGATTATTGCAGTTCCGTCTGGGATAGTTGTGGTACGGCTTGCGGGATAAGCTATAAAAATTACAACATTGAGCAGCTCGAATAATAGTTACTTGGAGCAACTGTAAAATACGGTCTTCGCAGATTTTAAAAGACCTAAATTGATCGATGTTGGAAGATAGGCGAACGAAACAAAAATCTTGCTTGATGTATGATAAAATATTCTACAAGCGTTTAATCGAGCTAACAATCTTCTGTCATAGTCATATGCATAATACACGAGATCATGACTACAATTTCACCATGCAAACAGAATTTTTTTGGAAAACAGCCTAGAGTAATTAGACCAGTGGTATGGAATTCAACACTAAAATTTTTCAAAAATAAAACAAATTAGTAATTTGTTATGTAAATAAATTTAAATAAAAAGTTCAAAAAAGTGCAAAAAGGTTCAACAAGAGCAACAACATCAAACAACAGTAACACGGTGTACAAATCTGAAAAGTTTTATTCACGCACCATTGAAATCAAACATACAAATATAATTAACTTGAAACATTGTTCAGGTTTTTACTTTTACAATACCATTATGCTTTAATTTTAATGCTTTTGATAATGGTGCCTGCCGGCAATCCCATGCTTTCCACGTTTGGGTAAGCCTTTCCAGCAACAAGCTCAGCACTTGGCTCGGCCTCGTTCTTTCCTCCGTAGACTAACCAATTGTTTTTGCCCTCAACTTTGGCAGATTGCGCACCATTGGGAAGCGGTCCACTAGCGGTAATATCAGAACAATCCCTTGTTTTGTCCTGCCAATTTAAAAGAAAATTCCTTCTCTTTGGGTATGTGTATTTTCGTTCTCTTTTGCACTCGTTTTATTTAGGGAGCAGTCATTATTTATGGCGCGTGGGTACGTGGCACTGAAGTCGTGAAAAGAAAAAGGTTGTATGGCAAACAAAATTGTGATAAATGAAAACAAAACTACTTCATGTTTGCGTAATAAAAACTTATTTTAATTTTCATTTCCAAAACATGACCAACTCAAATATTGAGACCAAAAAAGCAACGCCAACAATCAATGCATGAGAATTAATACAATATGTAAATCAATCATGCAGTGTCACTATAATCTTGATCATTCTCCGTTTTGCCAGGAGGCAAATAGTGTCTCCAAAGAATGTACATGCATGTGCAGACAACATGACACTTTAGACGGCTGCAGAAAATTGCACAAGCAGTTATCAAACAGCTCATGTCATAAAAGTCGTAATTGGACATGTGTGCCAATTGAATGATATCCATATGTAAAGTTTTTGGCCCGGGGTGGGTAAATATTTTTTCAATTCAAATTCGAGTTTTGGTAAATATTGTTTTCAATATTTAATGGTTGGATCAGCAACATTTTTACTAAGAAAAACGTTTCTCTTCGTTGCCTGCCCCAGCCATAAATAATGACCGTTCCCTAAATAAATATGTTTGTTGAAACCTCTATAATTAATGAATGATTTAACATTGCAAGAGAACAGTTTCTTTGTATACACTTGGAAACTGGAATCAGCATGCACCATGCAGCGGCCATGTTGGAGAGGTTTCTGGAAATGTAAAGTAGCGTAATATGGGAGGAAAAAACTCGGCTTACAATTTGATGAAGGAAATTTGTCTGAATGCTATAATTGAATGTCTTCTCCCTTTTTGTGATGTGACTGACATTTTCAAGGCTGTCATTTGCAACAATAAAATTATAATCCAATGACTATATATATACCCGAATTTTCCATATTTTTACCTTATTTCAAAAAGCCTCGTATAGGACATTAGACACCCTTTCAGGCTACCATAGGAAGGATAAATTTAAAATAATCTTTTATACATTACCTTGGAAGGTCCCTGGTAATTTGCTTCCTGGAAGAAAGTAGCCATAATCTAGAAATATAATAATGTGTTAATACTTAAACGGGAAAGCGTTTTCGAAAGTCTCCGTTTATTGGGTGTCCAAAAACGTGTGCCACCAAGGGGCAAAACGGAGAGGAAAGTATACCTATAAAGGATGGGGCCTAACACATACTGACCACAATAAAAATCAATCTATGCAATAAATAATATACATGCCATGATGCGGGAAGCTCCACTTATATAGACAGATATCAATATTCTAAAAACTTACAGAATCAGAGAAATATTCTGCTTGTTGCTCTTGATGCTCGTCTTCTTGCTGCTGTCGAATGCTTTGAAAACACGAACAAGGACGCCCTTTTTATAATCCCTGAGTCACGAGGTCATTCAGTTTAAGAATGGGACTAGTTCACTTCACTATAATAAGTAATGATTGATATGATGCAGCTCAACAAAAACAGCTATTGTTTTGGGCGGCGTGTTTTGCAAAATAAATTGTACCAGCACAGACAGGCAATCGACCACTTCACAATCTATCACCAAACACCACAGGATGAAGATAGTATGGCTAAAATAAGCACACAGATTTGCAGCCCCCCTGGGAAGAGATCCAAAAAAATATATAGAGATATAATAGAAAAAATACAATAATTCATATAAGTCAAGGTTCTATGTTATCAAAAATATTATAGAATAAAAAAGATTTATTTCTTCCAAACTGGACTAATATAACAGTATTCGTGAGCTTTCCTGATAAATCAACTGAAAGGCGTTCAACCGCGTGCATGCACGCGACTTACTAAAGGAGCGAAAAAGTATGATCATATATCTGCATTCTCTACATTGGCTATACAGACGAGATCCTCCTAATAACATATGAAGCTATATTAATAGCATGGCGCCTGATTATATAAAAGAACTTTTGACGTAAGCCTACGTGTTCATTGAGGTCGGAAAAGCAATAAAAAGAACTACAGAGATACTGCGATAGAGCATTTGTTGTCGTTTGTGTCCGAACTTTGGGACGGTATTTATTCGCCCATTTATGCACATTTAATTAATTTAAATCATTATTGAAAACTTATACCTTTTCAAGAAACATTTTTAGCTTATATTTATCTTAAATTATGTTAATTATTAAAACTTTAATAAACACATATATAGTTAGATCAATTTTACTTGTATACATGTATTGAGATATATGTAAAGCATTGAAACTTTGTATATGCTATGATATTTAACATTGTTATATAGTTATTGTCAAAGTTCAATTTTTCTGTTTGCCGATTGGTCAAAACCGTGTCACGTGCCGGTCCACAAAACGTCATGTTCGGCAACCGGTCCGCAATGAAACATTTATTGAAAGGTCAATAATAAAATGGGTGCAATACGCATGCGTGTCGGCCATGAAGTTCCAAAGTTCATTTTTTAAACTTTTTACTAAACATTTGCGGCGTTCCATTTATCCAGTTTTGGTTTCAAATTAAGTTCACTCCAAAAACCGGTGAATTATTCATACTTTGCACTTGTATACTATATATAACAAAACACTTATTTACTGAGACCTCGGGAAAGCAGTGTGTTTTGTGGCCCCTCGACGGCGGTCTCGGGTCCACAAAACACGCTGTTTCCCTCGGTCTCAGTAAATAAGTGATAATTGTTGTCATTCTGAGCGGTGCGTGGTCGGTAGCCTCTCCAATATGCGGGCCCGCCATTTGCAACAATAAAGCCATATTCCGAGGACTACGAAGACTAGAAATGTCTGTATTTTTAGTTATTTCATAAGCCTCGTATAGTCTGTTTGCTTGAAAACATTCACCATCAGCTGGTCTCTTAAAGTGGCATCAACGTGCACGGCCTCAAAAACCCGGCCTAACGCAAACAAAATATCCATGTACTACTGATCCCGCAGAACTAGGGCATTTTTTTCGGGAATTTGTAAAGATCCTTTTCTAAATTAATTAAAGCCATTCCTATTTCCTTCTGAGCTTTGTTATAAACATGATAAACCACAGACAAATAACAGGCAATTAGGCAAACATAGTAAAATGCTCAGGCAGTATAACAAGAGCATAACGATAAATTATGCCGGTATATGTGTCTTTGAGCGGGTATAACAGTTAATATACTAACCCTGTTTGATTTATTAAATAGCATGCAGGAAAACTAGAAGCTAGAGCTATCACGTACGATCAAATAAATTCATGGTACCCAGAAAGGATTAACTTAAATATTGATATATTACAATAAGATTTTCATGCATTATAAGCTGAGAGGCAACCATAATGTTTTAAAGATGCGGTAAAGTCCGTTCTGCGCATATATTCTGCGCATCAAAACATTCCATCAGTGGGGGAGCAACCTTTGGAATGTTGTTAATATTTCGCTCTTTCCGAACTTTCTTGAATTGAATCTCTAGTCTGTATTCATTTACAAGCATAACGAACCAGAAAAGTGTTAAAAATTCAGTATAATATATATCTAATCATATTTTACAACTGTAGCAGTGAGTTCAAAATGTAAACAAAGCGTTTGTTTACATTACGGACTTTACATCACCTTTAAATGCATGCAACACGCATTTTTGCATGACAATGCTAAAAAGTTGCATAAAATGACCTATTAAATAGCTGTATGTCGTTTTAGTTCAGTTCAAAATACTGCATATATATTTGTTTCAAATATCAAATATCGATATTTCATCAACTGGAAAAGCTTGTCCTAAAGTTCATTGCCCGACAGGAAAACTCTGCATGCCGTCAAAGAGTATTCGATGGTTTGTCAATGCGACTGACGCCTCACGTCGTTGTCTTATGTTTCTTATCTTCCAAACAAAATTGTAAAGACTCTGGCTTGCGATTGGGGAATTTATTGGGAAATAACTTGAAATTTAAGTTGGCTTCAATGAAACATGCAATCTAATCACGAGCAAATGGCAACTGTGTGCAGATAAAGCATGAGCGCAGCCGACCTGTATCGGATTCACAACGTACACAATGGACCAGGAGGAGTGAGTTAAGGCCAGTTTGATCTTGGGTGATACTCTGACCAAGTGTGAAGTGTCATGGTCAATGGGAGAGTGTCCTCTCTGTTGAATCAACTCACATCCAAACAGACCGAAGTCCATATTGTGTAAAAACATAATCGGATTGACGATATTAGTCCGATAAATGTCTTTCACCTGCACGGATCGACAGGCAATCCGCCACTTCACAATCTGTCAACTCATTAACGCCATAGGAGAAGATAGTATGGCTAAAATAATCACATATTATTTGCAGACCCCTGGGAGGTCCTGGGAAGAGAACGAAGAAAAGAACATAGAATTGTTGTTGTCATTCTGAAAACGTAGCCACTCAAAAGTATTTGCTATATTAGGTACTGTACGTTGCAGTGAATGTGCCCGACTATGCATATAGCCTACTATACTGTATAGCCGGTAGCATTAGCCTAAGATTTGCGACCAAAAGAACTTGTATACTTTCGTAAAGCCTGGTTTAATCAAATAATAGCTAATTTTTTACAGGATTTGTAAGAAATGTTTGAGCAAACTAAATCAGTGTTTAACATTAAGTCAGTTTGCTCAAACATTTCTAACAAACCTTTAAAATTCCTCTTACTATTGCAAAATTCCTGCTTTGATGGTATAAACCAGGCTTTACGAAAGTATATATACAGGTTGTTAATTTTAGTTGCAAATCTTAGGCTGCAGCTATACTATAAAGTATATGTATATATAGTCGGGGACTTTTCTGCAATGTACCTAATATAGCAAATATGTTTGGGTACGTTTTCAGAATGACAACAACAATTCTATGTTTTTTATTTGTTCTCTTCCCAGGGGTCTGCAAATAATTAATATGTGATTATTTTAGCCATACTATCTCCTGTGGCGTTAATGAGTTGATAGATTGTGAAGTGGTGGATTGCCTGTCCGTGCAGGTAAGAGACATTTATCGGACAATTCTGATCCGATTATGTTCTACACAATACGGACTTCAGTTTGTTAGTTGATTCGACAGACAGGATAATTTCCCATTGAACTTGACACTTCACACTTGCTCAAACATTTCTTCCAATATTTCAAAACTTAGAATTTACATACAAATTAGATCACAGAAACTTTGATATAGTGTGGCCATGCAGGGTTAAGTTACCAGTAATCAAATTAAATCACATGCACGGCATTTTAATATCATGTCCAACCGTGGTTCAAGTTCGGGTTTTCAACAGCGTATTTCCTACTTAAAACATTCTTCGCTAAGCTAGGTGGAGAATTTAATTGAATGTGAATTTGTAGTTTCTTTCAAAACAGTAAAATTATTGACTGACTCGAAAACTAGCCGTCACATTTTTGCATTATTATATATTTTACGTATTACTAGAATAATAAATATTTCTTTAGCCAGTTAGCAGAGACTGCTATTTAAAGCAGAGTGTAAGATTTTAAAATTGAAATCAATTCATGCAAGTGAATCAGCCATTTGAAATGTTCAAAAAGCACCAAAACGACGTTAGTCAGTCTTCCTTTCCAAATCTACCACAAAATTCAGTAATTCTGAATAAAACACATGCATGGTATTGAATTTATACTTTATAAAACTGTCAGTCTTGAACTGTATTCTATAAGGCTGCGGTCATTACCTTGGCTACAAATAATTTATTTACGAGAGAAAAAAGAATGACAACCATGCATTATTCGAATCGGTCTATACTTCATGCCCGGATCTTGGACGAACGTCTGGGCTTTCATTTTCACTTTTGAGACAAACGTTCTTTTTAACAAAGCCTAGAGTTGGGAATTAGAGTTATGAATTAATTGCTCGGCAAATATTTTTCTTGGCACTGTGTGGTGCTGCGGTAAAATCCTAGGTCACATACTTGGTGGTGGAAATTTAATTATGAGGTTCAGGTTTCAAAAAAGGAATAAAAAATGGTGACAGGCACTGACAGTATTTGTCCAGTAGTGAAAACAGACTCTTATTGCTATCAGCTAAATTTGAGAGAAAACAAAAGAAACAGTAACTAAAGGAAAATTATGCAAATTGTTGGTCATTAATAAAGCCTAAAAGTGAAAGAAGCCGAATATTTGCAGGAATGCGCAACCCTATAGAACTGATTGTTGAAGGAATTAATTTGTAGATAGAAATTTCGTGTGGAATTTTTATACATTTATCACACTTAACCATGGAGGCTGGAGCAGTTGCGAAAAATGCAACTATCGACCCTCGGTTGTCGATATTTTTTAGGTTTAAAAACCGCCAGTTCATGTGTAAACGCTAAGGTGATGCCAATGTACGGTGAATGGGTAACTATTAGGATTTTGAGCCTTAATCTTGACTATTCGAATTTTCCTACGCGTCATGTTGATATCAATACTGTACTATGAAATGATCTGAGTGCATTCTACCTTTTCATTGGTTCACAGAAATGATCTCTTAGTGAACAAAATTCATAGGTGGCGTGATATTTATAAGCCAATCATAACTTATCAAAACACTTCGGTGAACATTATACCAACATTGAACTCGCTAAATTTACTTGGCCACAATAGAATGTTAGATTGTAGCCTGCTGATACAGATCTTGCCAGTGGCGTATCGGAACCATTCCGAGTGGGGAAGTGTTCTTCTACAGCCTCTCCGCTTTACCGACCAACTCAATATTGCCGATCAATTCACTGACTATTTCGAATAAATTTACCGCCATGTTTATTCCCATATAATCTCCGTTTTATCATAATCAATGTGGCCTGTCTAACATCAGCCAGAAGTACATTAGTATTAGTGTAGTTGATTTTCGACCAGAATTTTTGGGGAAGCGTAAGGGCACCGCATCATCATAAGCATAAAACAAGGCGGCTAAGAGGCAACGCAAGGTGCCGAATCATCATTAGCACGTATGCATGACGTAACTCAGGGCGAGTTTAGGCGAAACAGCATGAGCGGACCATTTTCATTACAAAAGTATCTAGCAATAATCGGTATTCCTTAGGTCAACGGTTCTACCCCGATACGGTAGAAAATTTTTGCCTTACAGCCATGTAGCACGTCGTGGGCACCAATCCCACTCTTGGTAAATTTATTTTCGACACACAATACACTCAATACATACATACATACATACATACATACATACACACATACATACAGTACATACAGTACATACATACATACACACATACAAACTTTATTTAACCATGCTAGCCTCAACAACCGTTAGGAGGCTGATTTCCATGAGAGGCATGAAATATAGAATTAACTATTTGCAACAAATAAAGAAATATGAAAAAAAGATAAAATATATAAGACTAGATTGCAGCAGGGTTGCAATACGGCAATGATTTTTCATGCATGATCATAGAACTTTACCAAAGGAATTCAACGGAGACTCTTCAGATGAAATCATTGATGACAAAATAGCAAATAAATTAGCAGATAAACTAATCTGAAAGACATAAGTCTCTATAATACCTTCAAGAAACTAATTAAGCAACACTTTATACTAAATCCAGTTACAAATACATAGGTTCAGAAATCACACTTTCTTTAAGCAGACAATGTCCATGCATTGTTATTGTGCAAATAATACCACATAAAAATCTAACTAGTATATCTCTTTATCCTAATATTGTGAACACTACAGTATTTACCCTTCATACCTCAAATTTGTAAATATCTTGTATATACCTTATAAAACTTTTCTTCTGCATTTGATATTATCTTAAAAATTACTGTAAATAATATAATAATCTTAATAGGACATGACTAGTGGCCTAGAAACAAAAGTCTGCAAAGGTTTTTAGTAGGTCTCTAGCCCAAATAGTTATTTTGTAATTGCTGCCGAAGGCAGCACTCCTAATCTTGACATGAAGGTTTCTCCAGAGTTCACTCGACCCAGTCTTTCGCGCCGATCTATGTATTGTCGAGATGTCGATTTGTGTCTGTCCGTTAAGATGTCGTATTTCCGGGGGGGAACGGACGGGGGGAGTGCGAGAAAAATATCAAATTGCGCTTGCACATATTTATATGCAAGCTATAGTATATGCAAACTTATTCTGGATTTCACTTGATGCAAAATATACGAACATTTCCAGAAGAAACCAGGTAAGTATATATGGCTTTATTTCTTTGTGCTAATATCCATCAAGGCTATGAATTGTTTAGCGTTCATGCTGGAGGCAAGCAATGTGCTTTTATGTCATGAGTTTACGGCGCTTCTTAATACAGCCCGAAATATTCCCATTGTCCGTATGGTCGTTTAGAACATTTGATAATGTTTATAAATACAAGGAGACAAGATGTACTTTAAGAGCTCTGAAGTATTTCATGAATTTACTGGCAGTGTCTAATAGCCCACCAGATCTATTCGTCAATAATGCCTTATTTACGAGTCACAATGTACTCAGTTTTAATATTTGTTTGTTATGTGCCAAGACGATGAGTAATAGTGTTCATTTCTAGATGTTTATAGTTAACAACAAACGCGGAATGCTGTTAAATCAGGCTTACTGTGATAAGATCCCTAGAGCAACCCAGTGTGGATTCTTCTCTGCACATATTAACTTTATACCAGCAATATGATTACATGTAATAGTATGTCAACTGATTTTTTATGACTGTGTGTTTATTGTTAGCATAATATTGAAATAATCCTACCAGCCTACATTCATATATATAATATATTCATCTGGCTGTGTCACTACATTTCACAGTGTATTATATTTTTCGATAAATTATGTTCACAATTAGAAATGTCAACAAATAGATATTATCTCCCCATCAGCATATTGATATTGTTCTGTTGTCACTTGTCAGCCTTGAAGGTGGCATTACAACAATAATTAGAACAAACCCCGAGTTAGGGCCTGTTTACATGGAGGCGAGTTACCCGGCAAGGCGAGTTACTTGCCCAGGCGGGACAAACAAGCGCTCTGTTTATATGGAACCAAGTTACTCGGCATTTGTCGCATGATTGCTGCATGACGGATTTAAGTCGTTTGAAACGCTAAAAACATTATAAAATATAGTGAAAGTGCAAGAATAAGCGCCGAGCAATTCAGGAAAACTTATCTATCGATTCGTTTGTATTTTTGAGCTATTATATTGCAATGGCAAAGCACATATTACATTCTACCTCGGGTGGCCGAGTTACCTGGGCAAAGTGTTTACATGGAAAGTATTCATCTGGCCTAGGCGAGATCCCGCCTCTTCCTGCCGGGAACTCGCCAAGGCGAGTTACTCTCACCTTGCCGGGTAACTCGCCTCCATGTAAACAGGCCCTTAGTATTTTTATATAAACATTCTACATAATAAATTCTTTGACTTTGTATGTTTGCATGGCGATAAAATATATAATAGTTTAATTTGTTTGTCGGGAAACACCACGTAAATTTATTACTGCAAAATATTCAAACCTGTACATTTAAACATTGTATCGGTATTCAGCGGCAAGTTAGCCATGGCAACTGGCCATACTGCATGCATGCTATACTGCCCGATAAACCTGCATCTATTTGAATAATGCAAATCATTAAAAACTTGCATAGCATGACCTAGTGTTGCTATGACTAGCTTCACCACTGACAGTATTATAATTATACAACAGCAAGACGTTATAAGCATTGAAGATATTCATATAAAACCGCCCATGCCAAGAAAGTGGAATTAGAACTTTCAGCCGCCCTTCGACTTTGGGCAAGATGTTTGATATTCAAATTGCACTTTTCCTACCTCCTGAACAGGCGTCTTAAGGGCTGTTTGCATGTCATGGAAGAAGGGATGATTTTGATGTATTAAAATATTAGTCACTCGGCTAAATGAAGTTCAAACGCTCAAATGTAGAGAAGTAGTTCAAATGTAGAGAAGATCTTGTGGTTCAAGAAGGTTATATTATGTTTGAACAGGCAACCTTTTTGTTTAATACAGTTACTAACCATACTGTAATCCATCTCTAGAAAATAGTGAAATTTTTTGCCGAATCATGCATCGTGACTTATTTAAGCACATCAAAATCATCCTGCCTCATATCTCCTGGCAAAGCGGGATCATATAAACAGCCCCTTATTCAGCAAATTGTGCATGCTGCCTTTAATCCCTTGGGGTTGAGGCAGCATTTTCCTTGCGATAGTAACTTCTAGTATATATCACAATAAAAGTCACATGGTGTTCATTGCCGTTTGAATAAAAATTACATGCTGTTCATTTCTCTGAAAGCCAAAGCAAAATAGGCGGGGGCGATAAAATGTATGTACGTTATACAGGATTGAAGTCACGAAAACAAATATCAACGCCTCTTAATGTATCAATTTTTATAAAGTTTTATGTTTTTTTTCCTAACAAGATCCTTTTTTGAACCAATGCTCTTTTCCTTTCCTAAACATTTGGCTCCATAAGTGAAATAAAATTCGCGATTTAATTTCGCGATTTGCGAAGAAAATTTTCATAAGAACACACAGTTTTTATTTGCTCTACCAGGGAAGTCATTCCTGTAAGCGAGGCAGTATAAAGACGCCTTTATTTCAACAATTTTGTCGCTGGAGTTAAAATTCTATTTCAAACGAAGCTTTGATAATTATTGGATGACGAAACTTAATTGTTGAACGCTGGTTTACGGTCTTTTAAATATTCAACTTTTGCTTCGTAGCACTTTGACGGCAGACTTTCCTTTCTCGATTCACACAATTTCTTAGGCGCTGCTGGCATTGCTTGATTGATTTTTCAAAAAGTTTCCTTCACTAAATTTAATTAAGTGCCCATTGCTAAGGGATCGCTGGAGCAATTTTTTGAGGTTGACCATGGGGGCCCATTTAAGTGGATAGGTCTAGTTCGTAAGGGAACTACATGGTTTAAAATGAAGGTGTGCGAATGCGATCCAATCCGATCCGATCGGATTCGGACAGTAAATCACTTGAATCGGATCGGATTTCTTTTTTTTATTGTTGGATCGGATTTTGTAGCTTTTTTTTCAGATAGGATCGGATTTGTTTTTTTCTTGTATTACGTCGAATTACTGTAATATTTTAACAAACTAAGCCCCTGTTCACATGATCCCGGGATAAACAACTGCCCCGCGACAAGTCATTGACCCGGAGTACTGATATCTTCTGTTCACATGAACAAAGCTAGCGCGGGTCATGGCTATAAATACATTACGCGGGAATCATAAAATATTCCCGCCAACGTGAAACGGTGAAATATTGCTAAATAAAAAACATTCTGATAAACGCAAGTCGTTATTTTATGTTATGATATTAACAAATAGAACGTAGTTGATTATCAGCCGTAGTAAAATTTCCTCAATTCATTGTTTCTGATTGACCAGATCAAATTCTTTGAGTAACATACTACACTTCTTGGTTTCAAATATGATATTAGCGACAATTTTATTTTAATATTATTAGAATCATCACTTATAGATTTCTAATGACATCTTCAATCAAATAACAAGTTTTGTGGAGTCCAACGTGCTCTAAATGTAATTATAGCCGCGATTTTGATTGTTTTACCAAAAATGCAATTATCCCGGGACAAAGTTGCCCCGGGGCAAAGTGTTTACATGAGGAAAAGTTGTCCCGGCTAGGCGAGTGTCCCTGTCTACAGAAGCGAGGCACTCGGGTCAATTCTTGTCCCGGAACAAGTAATATGTCATGTGAACAGCACTATTCTTTTACTAAGGAGCCGAGACAATTTTAATTTTGTCCCGCGACAATTGCTTGCCCCGAGACATAACGCTGTCCCGGGTTCATGTGAACAGGGCCTAAGATAGTTGTATGAGTAAGCCGAGTGATTTGGTCGAAGCGGAGTAATACTATATAATGCCGAGTGATGACAATAAAGTAAAAAAGTGTTTTGATATTTCTGACAAAAGAAACACTGGCGTTATGTGGATTCTTCTTAAATCGGTTACGTATGGGAATTGGGATATAGAAATGTTGTGATTCTTTGTTTAGTTTGTTTGGTTTATGTGTCATGAAGCACTGACAATGAGATTTATTAGTGATAAACTTTAAGATGTTTTAAATTGTAAACCCAGCTCAACGTCATGCATTGTTATAATAACTCGGTGACTAGTCGGGGGTTTTTCTACGACAGTAAAACTGTATAAGGCATAATTGTGTGATAACGCGCTGCAATTTTTATCGGATTCGTATCTGCTTATTTTTGCTGGAAATTCATTATTTCTGATATATAGTTTATGATCATAAAAAAATACGTTAATACACCGAATAATTGACGCAGGCTGTATGTAACAACTTAAGTTCGGATCGGATCGGATTCCGAATTTTAGCATCGGATCCGATTTTATAAACATTTTTTCGGATCGGATTGCCTTTTCATCTTCGGATCGGATCGGATTCGGATTGAGAATTTAGACAAACCATCGGATTCAAGGAGGTCAATCCGATCCGACGCACACCTCTAGTTTAAACCGTTCTTTGGGATTGATAGATGTCTAATTTCTTAGCGCACGTATCTTTGGTTTTAACTAGTCGTCGCGAAAGATTACTTAGACACAAGTCTCTTGATTTAATTGTTAATCGCTGTTCCTACGGCCGTTCCTAGAATGCAAACTGGGAAAGCTCTATTTTTTGTATTGTACAACATTTTGTAATCAAATTTTACAATTTTATTAATTGTAATGAATAAGTTCTTTGTCTGACTTTACATCTTTTATCAAAATCAACTAGAAAAGTAGTCTAACATGCATGTTGTCTATTATGAATGATGCAATGCATACCTCGTGATCGTTTGACTGGATAATTGATTACGGTAAAATAACCACATGGAGGCAATGAAAGAAAGGCGGTCTTGTCGTTGTCCATTCCCAAGCACATTCCTGTATTATCGGTAACTTTAGCACATCTGCGATTGTATATTAAGCCGGGTACAACACGAGCACCTGGTATTGTTGTGCAATTTTGTACGGGAACAAGGAAAAGCTTCTGTTTTGGATGGGTAACCTGAGCCATGAGGCAGACTCCAATCAGAGGGTACAGTGTATCATTTTTTTCCCTAAACGTGTAAGACTTCGATATATCCCCTTGAAAGTACATATATGGGGAATTGAAATAAGAAAGGTAACTCCGTGGAAAGGTAACTCCGTTCGTCGTTATCACAACTGAACCATACACTGGTGCTTGATCTGCAATGAAAAGTGTACAGGAAATGAGTTGTAGGCTTCTACGTGTTATACACACGTAAAAATATCACAACTTGTAAGCAAGATGTGTTCGCAGCAGGCTTGTGGCAAGCTTGTTAACAAGTTGTAACAACACTGTCATTTTATGATCAAGTTGCCACAAGGTTGGCACACCCAAATTGTTGACAAACTGTTAAATTGCACGACGATAATAAGTTTAATTTTGGAACAACTTGTAACAAGCCTTTGAGCTCAACAATGTTATAGCAAGTTGTCAACCAGGGCGCTTATTTAGTGGGCGGTGCAACGCGCTGATATCGCGCTGATCGATGTGTGATGCAGAAAAGGACTGGCACGAGCGTGCTTTTCGGCGAAAGTTGACAAGGGGCGTGATTTTTCCTGCTGTTGTATTTTCGCTGTTTTTTCATTAACTACGAAATTCTTGAGGATGTTTTTGCACTGTAACGACGAAGTAATAACTAGTGTATCGTACGAATGCTTGTTTGGCCTGTATAGTTGAATTTTGAAAGAAATATTGAGGATAATGACTCGGGCTTTTGATGACTTGAATGAAGGGAAATTTTCAAAACAGCATTTCAGCATGTTATCAAGTCGTCCAAACTTCGAAATTCAGTTGATGGTAAAGATTATAATTATGTGCTTATCTCCAAAAGTTTTCATAAGACTCGGAGTTGAGCAATTGAATATACAGCATTGGAAAGTAAGGTATTTTTGTGTGTTAAATTTTGCCTCGTTAGACCATTATTTCGCTGCAAAAAAATAAACAACAATTGTATTTTGGCCATGTCATGATTTTTTGTTGTTATGTTAATAATTTTGTACGACTTTTAAGGCATTCAATTGAAGTAATTCTGAGCCGTAAACATATTTTACTTCTTGGCCTTGAATCAAAATACGACTCGCTCAGACGTTTGTTGAGCGCAATAGTCGAAAAAGTTTCGTCCCAACTTTGATTTTTTTTTGACCGGCTGGCCAAGACAACTTCTCGTAATAATTCGTTAAAAAAATACAAATTCAAGTTGAGCATTTCTTGATTTTCAACTGAAAGATCAACTAGTGGCTAAAATTAATTGTGAATTGTATTCTATCGAACGTGAACGATACGTGTACATACGAAGAGTTTTTAAAACTCCTTCACGTCATGCTTCTTGCGAAAGCAACCGTTCGTAATCTTTCGCAAGCGTTTTGAGCAAAAACTCTAAAATATTGGCAATATTACCGGAAATTACAATAGCAGAATCTACTAAATTATCGTATAACCTCGGAATTTTACCCCCAATATCTATTTCTTCGTCAAAACTTGACTACAAAACAGTCAAAACTTCCAGCTCAGTTTCCCCGCCATATTTATCCTTGCAACTAAGACAACGTCGCCATAGTAACCAGAACAGACTCGTTACCAGTTCATTGCATCACACATCGATCGGCGCGCCTATAGCCGTTTCACCGCCCTATATATAAGCGCCCTGTTGTCAACATACCTTTGACGCGTTCCACAGGACGCACACTTCGCAACAGCACCTTCGCGCGTGCCCCCCTGCCTGAATACTTCATGCATTATATTTAAAGCGACTGTGTACGACCCAGGTTTCAATCCAAGTTGTACAAAATCGAAGGTTCTTTTACTAGACACAATCATCAGGTTATGCCTTTTAGGCAATAATGGCCCAAGTTGTTTTCTTCTATTTTCCTTTGCTAACATTTTGTAATAATTTTAGTTACATTTTAGAATAAGAAATTTCGAAAGTGCAGGGGATAATATAGGGCAGTGGAGAAAATTTACTTTTTCCGGTGAGGGGAGGTGGGTGTCAAAGCCTCCTAAATTTCCGACAAAACTTTCAAATTTCCGACAAACCACTTCTACCCATGTACACTCGAAAACGCTTCCCCCCCCCCCTATTTTTTACCATTTTTACGCTCCCCCTCCAGCAAGATTTCCATCACTGATAAGCAGCATAGACTTAAGGGATATTTCGCGATTCAAATGTCCGCGATTTCTTGCAATGTTACAATTGCATTACATGAATTAAGTATCTAATATGTGTAAGTGTTGTTGTGATGACGTATCCCAGTCACATGGTGTGTTTTGATCTAACCTCTATGAGCAGCAGAGATTGAAATTGCGTGAATTAATGCAAATAATTTGTGTTTTCTTCATGTCAATGTTTTATTTAGGACATTGTATATAGTCTTATGATAGTCGACCTGTTTTAATTCCTTAAATAACCGAGAAATTGGTCAATGAAATTTTGGTCAATAGCAGAAATCACAGCTGGGAACCATGTTAGGGTTATGAATGTGAGTAGTTAGGCATTTTCATTGTCGTTTTACTACAGGTAACCAGTCCCTAGTTTGGGACAACTACCTAAGTCCTATTTTAATTCAAAACTTTTTGGTAAACCCTTTTTGAAAATTAGTATATCATATTGCATATATATCGTATTTTAGTACAAACCTGTTAGTAGGCTATCATGTATCGTGCGTTCTGATTTGCTACAGTACTAGTAGGCTATTAGTGATAGTCTACTAGTAGCAACAAGCGGCGAAGAGCGCGAGAGTCAATGGCCGTTTTTAAGTTTGGAAAGCTGCATGCATGTGAAGGGAAAAAGCTTATCAAAATGACCTAATTTTGGTCCTGGATTATACACAAACAAAGACTCTTGGAAACTGCTGACACATGTGGTAATTTTTTATGTTTTCTCAACTTTGCTCGTTGTTTTGAGCATGGAAGTGAAAGCTGATTTTTTAAAATATATGCATATTAATTAATGTTTGTTAATATTCCAAGCAGAATAGTAGGAATACATGAATACTTTGTAGCTATTTACCCTTATTTTCTCAACCTCTTTTGTGCGTGCTTTTTTTAAGTACGAGTTCATGTATTCAGCTGTAATTTTAAAGAGTTTTTTTTTTCGTTTAAATGTTAAATCTTTGGCCGAGTTTTTTTTCGCCTTTTCGAGCCTTTTTAAGTCGAGTTTTTCGATTAAATTTTAATCTAAACTATTGTCTATGTATACTAGATTATGGAAATGGTTTGCCACTTTATGATCCAGATATTTTCAAGATTTAACGGCATTCGGATAATAGGATTCTTTTGCATGTGTGTGCATTTTTATTTGGCTTTTTAAACTAAACTTTATTTACTAATTTCGTAACAATTCGGAAAGCCATTTTGTGTTCGAAATTTTGGATTTTTAAGCTTTGTTTCCTTCTTTTAAATAAGTTTTAATTAACCAAAGTTTGCTTCTATGACGGTCTCTTACTATTATACTGTTTTACGACATGTTTTTTAACTTTTCTTGAAACTCACAAGTTGTATTTTTCAAGTCATTCTTGACAGTTCGCAACACTTGGTAATTGTCAACAAGACCGAGGCGAAATGTCGCCAAAGGAAGCAATTTAAACGCTAATTTCGTACTCTTTCTCGACAACCGGTTTCGTATTACATTTCGTTTCAATTTTTCTAATATAAATATCTCGGCGAGTATTTACCCCCCTTTTAAATAAATGCCACCATTGAAATCCTCACAATATAACCTTTCGAACGGGGGGTCAAGTGCCGTCAAAACATTACACAAACCGAAACAATTATATATTTATACTCACCGCTTCGCCAAACATTCAAACGAGAAAATTAGAAAAAGTTGAATATATTCTAAACTTTGGTGTCATTTCCTGAAAGGATATATATGTAAAATACTCTTTGTATTCAAGCGCTTTCGTGTAGAAAGTTTCGTATGTATACGCCGAATAGAAATATTTATTTTGAATTTTTAAAGTATCGGGTTTTACTTGCACGCGCTTGTATTAAGTAATACTTGGCCAATAAGGAGCGCCCTTTAGCCGGAATGACGTAAAACTCACGCGTATGGGTGCACTTTGACCTGTAGAATCCATTTCTGGCATTTCCAGAGTCACGCGATACAAGCGTAGCATTGTTTTGACGGTTTTTCGTCGTATTTCCGGTTGGGATTAACGCATATTCGGAGCAGAAATACAAAATTCGGCACTAAATGTCGAACTTTTAAGACAGAAGCTTGAAAATAACACTATACGTGTTATTTTTAACTTCTGAATTCATCAAGACGGACAGAATGAGCATACGTCTCAATGGGACGAAGTTATATTCGGCGAAAGGTATGTTTATGTTTATAATTTGTCAGTAATATTGCGTAATTTGATAATATACGAGCTCGTTTGACTTTCAAAGCTCATAAATCGCTATAATGTTGCCATTCACTAAATCTATCGATAGAAATGAGTAGCTATCGTTACACTGAATCGAATGGTGGTATTTTGGTCCACGTAGCATTTACCGAACTGAAGATATGAACCGCAAAAATGATAAATCATGAGTGATTTGTTTAATAGGGACTGGTCGGGAAAGAGTTAATAACACAAACTAGTGCAAAATTCAAGGCGCGTCACTAACACAAGGAAAATATGTTTTAATACAAAGAAATTATATGATGTTTGTGATGTTACTCTGAGTGTATATCCACCCCGTGCAAGGTTGAAAAATATGGCTCCCAATGCTCTACCAACTGAGCTACGCGGTCAGGTCGGTTCGAGTATGTGATTTTTCGGAACTAAATCTAGTTCCTTCGATACCAATGCAATCTAATAATATTATTTTTTTGTGTTCATGTTGTGTACGCTCAGGTGAATGTAATGTTTGTGATGTTACTCTGAGTGTATATCCACACCGGACAATCGATTCCCTCCGTGGCCACGCATGTTTTTCGACGTTGCCCAGTGTGGACATACACTCAGATTAACATCACATTCACCTGAGTGCAAAACACCAACGCAGAAAAAATCATATTGCAATTGCTAGATTGCATTGCCGGTATCCAAGGAAATAGATTCAGTTCCGAAATATCACATACTCGAACCGACCTGACCGCGTAGCTCAGTTGGCAGTGCATTGGGCTAGTATTCCAAAGGTCGTAGGCTTGATTCCCACCGCGTGGTTACCAAAATGT